GTAATTTTATTCTAACAATACGTTGTTACCATAGTGTGTCAGGTAGTTCCCTTAGACTGACAAGGCTTAAACAATTTTTATTGTTATTCAACACTAAACACCTCCACTTTTTAGTTTACTTAAGGAATTTTATACTATTTCTGTGGTCTTCATTTTCCAATATGTTATAGATTTCTTTGTTAGCTACGAGTGGGTTCAAACCGCGCTCAAATCGGAGCACCGTAGCTCAAGTTATGAATTTTTTTTATAAAAGTGCTGAATTTCACGGGGGGGTCCCGCGCTCGTAGTGCGAAACCCGCGCTCATAGCGCGGGAACACTGCCTCCTCGCGTCGTCCCGTGCTGACAGCGCGAAACCCGCGCTCGTAGCACCACGGTCTGAAGATTTCATCCTACATTGATATTTTACCTGTAACTTGAGTTATACTTATCTGATTGACACAATCTTGGTCTCGTTGGAAAGCTAATAAAAAGATCTATAACTTTTATCAGGACACAAGGGTCCAAACCTGTCATATAGGATATGAAAAATGGACAACAAGACATGATATCTCTATTTTTACATGAATTTTCAACCTAAAGGTCTTATTTCACCTAATTGACATCATACAATCGCTTCAATACATGATTCTTAGCTATTTCAAGACACACATTTATCAAATAGGCATCCATGCCCTTCCATCATATATACAATAAATATAATATTACACAATATCCAAGTGTCTTTAATACATAACCATGAGACTTAGATACAAAATACTATGATCAAATCCTTGGTTCTCATCAACAAAAAAGATATCAAAGGAGATGAGCATAGGCTAAGTCCACCAAAATACAACATGATGTACACATATCAAATGGATTTCGAATGTGAATCCTATACATGGAACTACTAAATGACATGCATAACCAAAATAATGCAACATCCTCATGCATCAATCTAATACAAGTATGGCCACTTGCCACCAGAGGCTCCTACAACATCTGTACCTGAAAGGGGGTCCCCATAACACGAGGTGAGATATACGAATACATCTCAGTAAACCAGGGGTCCTTGGAGCATTTCTCCACCCCATAGTTCAATCACAGTATAATAACAATAACCGTAAATAATGCAGTAAATAGATATCCATGCAGTGTGTAAAAATATCTCCAGGAGACATCCCTCGAGCTCTTATGCTATCCTAAGGATACTCAGATGCAAAATAGTTCTACTGACCAGCTAAACTATCAAGTATGAATTACGCATCATCATACAACATACAAAACATAGGGAACCACCATCCTATGCCACACCCAGTGCATACACATACGTATAAAAAGTATTAAACTACTTTATTGCATTTACATACACTATCAACAACCACTACCCATTCCGGGCTTGGTAGAACAATAAAGGATCAACACCCAAGGTCCGAAGGCTTATCTCAATGAGCTTCAAAGCTTAACCTTTGTTCACCACCAATGAGCAATCAATCAAGCTTTACAACAATACCAACAATCAATACCTACATCAAGGTACTAGACAATTTATCAAGGCAATCCAATGAATACCAATATTGTCATCAACCGAACAAACCTATTCACACCACAATGGCATGAGCTTACCAATTCAAGTGAGCTAATCAAGCTCCATGGCTTCCTCCAATGGTTGGTCCTTCAATGTTGGTCTACAAGGCTTAATCCTATCACCACAAGGGACACAAGCAACCATCCAATCAAATCATGGCTCAACAATGCAAGAAACTCCACATGTCCAAGTATGAATTTTTCCAATATATTGAACAACAACCAAATGACAATCTAAGTTCATTTCTACCGTTTAATTATCATTTCTAACAACTTTTACAAAAGGGATTAAGTCTCAATCAAGTTCAAACTACCCAAACTCAAGCCACATTTTCAATATGGAACCCTAAATGTGCATCACCTCAAAACAACAAGATGGGTTTAAATGCTTACCACAACACAACCATAAAAGTTCAAGGAAGGACAACCAAGCAACAAGGAGGCAATGCTTCATCTCTAGATCCTCCAACTTCCAGATTTTTCCCACCAAGAATATCTCACTCCACAATGGCTCCCACTCAAAAATAAGCTAGGATTAACAATGAGGGGAAAATTTGAAGTGGTTTAGGCTTTGGAATGGAAGGATTTGAGTAAGAAATGGATGAGTTATGGTGTAGAGCTCACAACCATGACTTCTCACCCTCTCCTATCTGTTTCCGTCGCAGGTGAAGAAGAAGAATGAGGCTTGGATCATGTTATTTCAACTTAACATAGGTTAAGTTATTTCCACCGGGTATCAGCTAATCTATCTAGTTAACTCCGTTCTCTTTCAAATTTTACCCAAAGTTCTGAAATATTTTTCTAGGAATATTTCCACTTTACTTTTATATTTTGGGTACTTTTGCCTACACCCAGTTTTACTCCATAATTTTCACTGACTACACTTTTTACCTCAAAAGTGACCATAATTCCTTTAATTAGATAGTTTACCTAATTTAACCCACTAATATAAGATTAATTGCCTAATTACATGCAATTAATTAAATTTCATGGTGATGGATATTATACTTGACATAGGCCTGTTAGTCTGTTTAAGCCTATTAAATATTTAATTATTAAAAAAATAACTAAAATAATATTACTTTATTATTCAAAATTATTAAAATAATAATTTTCTTTATTTTATTTAAAATAAATAATAAGATATAGACTGGCCTGTAGGTTTATAGGCCCGACACACACGAAAAAGCATATGGTCTGCTTTCTAAATCTATGGAGAAGTGTTGCAAAATATCTATGGTACATATGTGGATGACTTTAGCTATTCATATGCCTCATAAAGTGTAGATGATGACCTTTGATTTTCCATGACCTTTGATATACAATGTAACATCACACAATGATGTATTAAAATGTAATCACTCTCCTATTCATGTTTAGGGTCTTATATAAGTACATAACTTCTAGGAAAGATGGGATGATTGGTGGAATAAGAATTGAATTACATTCACATACTTTTTAAGTTTTCATTCCTTGATCTTCCCATATTTTCTCTCTTCATTTCTCTTTCTATTTTTTGTCTCATTCCATTTTATTACATATCTATTAATTTTATTTATCATTGTTTACTAATTTTATTTATTTATTATCATTATTAATACTTAAATTTAAATTCACCGTTTAGTTTTGGTGGTTTCCAAATGGTGTTTTCAAAATAGAAAAGTCTTTGATAAAGATATTATATTTGAACCCATTATCAACTTCTCCTTAAAAGGCATGTTGTTGAGAAAACTAATATAATGGTAACTAGAATGAAAAATGTTGATTCGATGTGTACAATTGTCATGATTCTTATCAATTAGTTACTCATCCTTGATTATGATTAATGATAGAACCTATGCATGAAAGATTTGAACTATTGATGAGCATAATAATTGATCATGTGTTGATTAAATCATTAGGTAATATAAACAGAAAAAAAAAACGAAAATCTAAGTTGGAGAATGTTGGAAAAATAAATAACTCGTGTGATACATCAATATGAGAAGTTAGTTTCCCAAATAGCAATAACCATCAATTTAATGGAATTTGAATATAAGGGTAATTGTTCTATCTGTTCATAAGGTTTTTCACAACATTTGCCATTACTACGGGCAATGATTGAAAGGAATAAACAAGGGACTAAGTGGCTTTTATGCAGATATCTTTGCTCTGCAATAATGGATCAACGTGAGTGCCAAATTCATTCCTTACATATTGATGATCTACTAGTAAATACCATAAAATTTAAAGATCAATGTCCATGTTCTTTAATAACTTATGTTCTGATATGTAACCTTTATGTATCATACTTATAATTGTTGAACATGAATGTGTATGCTTAAAAAAACCAATAATCATTTATCTAAAGGGTTTTATAAGAGTTATGTTGTAGGAAAAATGATTGTGTTATGTTATAGAGATTCGTTTTGCGTGTCAAAGTTTTTTTTTTTTTTTGCTGCGGGCCCCACAAATTTTTGTGTATGTAGGAAACTTTTTATGGTTATGTTAAATGATAGATGATAAACCCTTATTTAAATGATAAGGAACTTATATTTTGTTATATCTTGAGTTAAAGTTTTGGGAATGAGAAAAAAAAAAAAAAAATCTTTAAGAGAGCCAAAAATTGAACTCTACTTTGTCGTTTCATCCATTACTCGGCAATTCACATCAAAACTTAGTGCTCAAATCAAAACACGTCATGACACCCGACAAACATACCAAATCCAATACCGCCAATTGTAAAGTCATTAAGTCATAAATAGTCCTCTATATGCGTGCCTATTAATTAACCCAAGATTATCTAAATTATCGGCACACAATCCACTGCTTCTTCAACTCAATCCAAAAAGCAAATGAGAATGACAATAAAGCTTAGTACAAAATTATTATTTTATGGGTTATATTTATCTTATTCTACATGAGATAACTTATTTTTCTACACACATAACAAAGGTGGATCACACTTTTATTTTTTCTCTTTCCAATCATTTGTGGGTCCCTCTTATAATTTTGTTTCACTAACATAAGATAACACATCTCCAACAACATAAGAAAAATAATTCCCTTATTTTATATAAACATTAATGAATAAAAAATGAATGTTAGTGTTAGGCCTACTATGCTGACATGTATACCACTATTGCCAAACTTCCTTAACATTGCTCATGTTGTTCTATCTTGAGTACCCCACGTGTAATGCTTAGATAGGTCAATTTCAAATTCCAATGTCATAAATCACTTCAACAATAGTTAGGCATAACAAGGTTCAGATTTTTCCACCACTACTGCTTTTTTTTTTTTTTTTTTTTATCTTTTTAGTCCTCAGGACTCCTTATATTAAGCTACATTAAACTTGCACATACCAATTCCTGTGTGTCTTTCTCTGATATTCATAAGTTTCCTTCATTTTTATGTTTTTTTTTTAAGAGAAACGACATTAATTCATGCTATGATGGGTTTGCTTCCATTTTCAATGGTACTATTTCTCTATTTGGCCATTGCTCCTTGTAGAGTTTATGGGGAGGAAAATGTTACAATAGTGAATGAAAAAAATTCACTAGTTTCATTCATGTCAGGCATTGTTTCTGACCCTAAAAACGTTCTAGAGACTTGGAATTCACCAGGTGTTCATGTTTGCAATTGGTTTGGTGTCAAATGCAACAATGCAACTAACAGGATCATAGAGCTTGATCTTAATGGTAGCTCACTAAGGGGTACCATTTCCCCTGCTCTTGCAAACCTCTCTTCCTTGCAAATTCTTGATCTTTCTGAGAATTTTTTTGTGGGTCATATTCCAAAAGAACTGGGCTATTTAATTCAGCTTCAACAACTCAGTTTATCTTTTAATTTTCTTGAAGGGAATATTCCCTCTGAGTTGGGTTCACTTCACAACTTGTACTACCTTAACTTGGGAACTAATCATCTCAAGGGTGAGATTCCTTCATCACTTTTTTGCAATGGGTCTTCCACATTGAGTTATATAGACCTCTCTAACAATTCCTTGGGGGGACAAATACCCTTGAGCAATGAGTGTATCCTCAAAAAGCTTATGTTCCTCTTACTTTGGTCTAACAAGCTTGTAGGTCAAGTTCCTTTAGCTCTATCAAACTCCACAGAACTTAAATGGCTCGATGTGGAGTCAAATATGTTGAGTGGGGAGCTACCATCTGAGATTGTGCATAATTGGCCACAATTACAATTCCTCTACCTATCATATAATAACTTTGTCAGCCATGATAGTAACACCAACCTTGAAACTTTCTTTTCTTCCTTGATGAATTTGTCCAACATTCAAGCACTCGAGTTGGCAGGAAACAATCTTGGAGGGAAGCTACCTCGTAACATTGGTGATCTTCCGACCAGCTTGTTACAGCTTCACCTAGAAGACAATCTCATATATGGTTCTATACCTCCAAACATTGCCAACCTTGTCAATCTAACTCTCTTAAACATTTCTGGTAACTTACTAAATGGATCAATACCTCCCAGTCTCTGCCAGATGGGAAGGCTAGAGAGAATTTATTTGTCAAATAATTCACTATTTGGTGAGATTCCCTCAACCCTTGGTGGCATTCAGCATCTGGGGCTTCTAGACTTGTCAAGAAACAAGCTTTCTGGTTCACTACCAGACAGTTTTGCTGACCTCCCCCAGTTAAGAAGTCTTTTACTTTATGACAACCAGCTATCTGGAACAATCCCACCAAGTCTGGGAAAATGTGTCAATTTGGAGATTTTGGACCTATCCCACAACAAGATTTCAGGTCTGATTCCTACAGAAGTTGCAGCCTTGACTAGCTTGAAACTATACTTGAATTTATCAAGCAATAACTTACAAGGGCCTTTGCCATTTGAGCTCTCCAAAATGGACATGGTGCTAGCTATTGATCTATCCATGAACAATCTCTCTGGCAGAATCCCACCACAGCTTGAAAGTTGCTTAGCACTAGAGTACCTTAACCTTTCTGGTAACAACTTAGAAGGCCCTCTTCCTGATTTATTAGGCCAATTGCCTTATATTAGAGCTCTTGATGTGTCTTCAAATCAGTTAACTGGCCAAATACCACAGTCCCTTCAGTTGTCCACCACTCTCAAGAAACTTAATTTCTCTTTCAACAAATTCTCAGGGAGGGTCTCAAACAAGGGAGATTTTTCATCATTGACCATAAACTCTTTCCTAGGAAATGATGGTCTATGTGGCTCGGTAAAAGGCATGCAAAGCTGCCACAAGAAACACAGATATCATTTGGTTCTCTTATTCATTCCATTGTTACTATTTGGAACCCCCTTGTTGTGCATGTTTGGGTACCCCAGAATTATTAAGTCAAAGGTCAGAAAGCAATTGGCAATAGTTAGCAGAGGGGACTTGGAGGATGAAGATGAGGAAACAAAGGAACTTAAGTACCCAAGAATTTCATATAAACAACTTATTGAAGCCACTGGAGGCTTCAGTGCTTCAAGCCTAATTGGTTCAGGAAGGTTTGGACAGGTCTATAATGGAGTTCTCCGAGATAATACAAGAATTGCAGTGAAGGTATTAGATACATCAACAGCATGCGAGATTTCAGGTAGCTTCAAAAGGGAATGTCAAATCCTGAAAAGAACCAGGCACAGAAATTTAATAAGGATCATCACAATATGCAGTAAAAAAGAGTTTAAGGCTCTTGTTCTTCCACTGATGCCAAATGGTAGCCTAGAGAGGCACTTATATCCAAGCCATGGGTTAAGCCAGAGGTTGGATATTGTTCAGATAGTGAGGATATGCAGTGATGTAGCTGAGGGAATGGCTTATCTGCACCACTATTCTCCAGTTAGAGTAGTGCACTGTGATCTTAAGCCAAGCAATATACTACTTGATGACGATTTTACAGCTTTGGTAACTGATTTTGGTATTGCAAGGCTTGTAAAAGGTGATGAGAACATGAACCCCAGTGGCTCAACATCTTTCAGTTCAACACATGGTTTATTATGTGGCTCCCTTGGCTACATAGCCCCTGGTATGTACTTTGTCCAAACATTTTTCTACATTATTTCCTAGGATCATTTGAGAATAGTTGATAGTTTTATGGACTTTTAGTTTATATAATTTACTTGAAATGAGTTTTTTTTATGAGACACTACCCATTATCTTGATTTCCCCATTCTTCACAAGACCCCAATAAATTACTACCCTTCTTTTCTCTATTAAATAAAGTGCAAGTCTTGGAGCAACGATAAGGTTGCTATTTGTAACCGCAAGGTCATGGGTTTGAATATGAAAAACTCTGTGTAAAAATATAAGGATAAGATTGCGTACAATTAACCCTCGTTCCTATCCTCGCAAATCGGGAAGCCTTGTACATAGGGGTTTGCCTATTGTCCTTTTCTCTCTTAAATGAAACGATTATTCAGTTTTTAGTGTCCCTTTCTCTCTTAAATGAAACTCTGTGCAAAAATTCAGTTTTTTTACATTGGGATTTGCCTATTGTCCTTTTCTCTCTCACAACAGCTATTTATAAAAAAGTTATGTGTCTTTTACAAAAAAGAAAAAAGAAAAGAAAAAGTTATGTGTCTCAAGACTCACTATGTCCCTCCTTCATTTTCTTGACAGAATATGGAATGGGAAAACATGCATCAACTCAGGGTGATGTTTACAGTTTTGGAGTACTTCTGCTAGAAATAGTGACAGGTAAACGCCCCACAGATGTCCTTATCCATGAAGGCTCTAGCTTGCATGAGTGGATTAAGAGACAATATCCACACAAGATTGATAACATTGTTGAACAAGCATTGCAAAGGTGCTATCCATCTTGCATGACAAGTCACTGTAACAAAATTGGACAAGATGTTATATTGGAACTCATAGAGTTGGGGCTTCTATGCACACACCCTAATCCTTCAACAAGACCAAGCATGCTGGATGTAGCCCAAGAAATGGGGAAGTTGAAGGACTACCTCTCTAATCAATCCTCTCTGCTGATTGAAGAAGTCAATGCTAAGGTTAATTCTCATGCAGTGAAGATAAATTTAGTTGGAAAGTGAATAGCTAAATTAACATTAGAAGGCACTGTGAATTTGGACCTTTGAATTCATTCAATGTTCTCTTATAATTTGATATGCTTCAAAAGTAATGTTTGTTATCATCAAGCTAACTGGTACAGACTTGTTTCAGTTTAACTAATGATGTCAAGTTTGAATTAAGGATATGTAGTTGCATTAAAAACCATAATAAAAAGAGTTTTTGCCTGATCTTATCCGACTCAACCAAATTAATTGAATAATTGATAAACGGGTGAAAAATTCTAAAAAGAAAATAATGTTTGTTAAAAGTCAAAATTGAAAATGGATCCTCAGACTTTTTGTTTAATATAAGGGATAGGTTATTCTACTAATCACTCTAAACTCTAAAACACTGTTAGATCAGAATCTTAACTAACATTTATCTTTCTCTCTCTTCTTGAGATTATGATCTAACTAACATTTATCTTTCTCTCTCTTATTGAGATTCTTATGTTGGAGGGTGGTAGGCAAAGGTAGGCAGAAAAAGTGATAGGTAGAATAACCTATCCCTTAAGGGAAAAACATCTATCCTTTTAAAGGATATAAGCTTATATCATTTTAGATCCTAACCGTTAATGAGCCAAATTTATTATTAATTAATTAATAATTTTGATCCAATAAATTATAACCGTTGATGGACGAAAATCAACGATTAGGATCTAAAATGATATAAGCTTATATCTTTTAAAATGACAGATGTTATTCCTATCCCTTAATATAATAATGTTATGTAGGAGAAATCCTAACTATACAAAGATAAACAGATGGTAATGATTTTACAACTACCTATCCCAATACCAAATAATGGTAGCTCAGTTGGTGCATATACAAGAATTGAGTAGATGGAAGTGAGAAGATGTGTTCAATTCACCCGAATATCATTTTTGAGAGGTACCCAAATTTCAGATTAATCCACAGGAAACCTATGAAACTATTAAAGGAATAATCTCAAAAAAATAATAAAAAAAAATTACCTATCCCAATATTTTTTCTCTCTCTTCCTTTTATAATTCTTTCATGTAATATGTTAAATAATATATCAAAATTAGAGTTCATCTTATGTAACTGTTTCTCCCATTTTCACATTGCAATCACCTTTTTATGAAAAGTTAAAATTATGATTGTGTTCTGACGTGAAACACGGGGTGAACATTTTAACGGAGAATGGGTCAACCACTTCTCTTTTCTTTATCTGAGGGTCAACCAATACTCTTTTCTAAATGGGTTATTTTCATTTCTTATTGCATCCAAATTCACTCCAAACTACATAACCGTAGGAAGTGCTACTTTTTACTTAAATAAATCCACAGTCGTGAATTATACCTGAACCAACCCTTCAATCCTGTCCTGTGTGTCTTATCGTCTCTCGTAAAAGTGAGGCGTGTGCTTATTGTAGCATCCCTAAAGTGAATTCCACAATCCAATTTCACCACTTGTTTCTCTTTTTGCCTACTCTTCTATATATATATAATTAGTAAGTGGAAGTAGATATAACCACATTATCATTTTAATAAATTGATAAAATCCTCGTCAGCCCTTTTCGGATTTCTCTATCATTCCATTGATTACAGACTAATTCAATTAATTATTATGAATTCAAAAGAATTGGTTCATAACCAGTTCAGAATTGGTAATTGCTTATCAACTAGTTCTTAACCCAAATGAAAATATGAAAAGAATAAGGAAAAAGAAAATAAAGAAAAATAAAAATATGAATGAAATTAGATTTTTTTTAAAAAAAGCAATAAATAATTAAAAATAAAAATAAAATAATGTAAAGTAAAATTAAAGATAAATAAGATTGTCCACCAAAAAAAAGATAAATAAGATTAAAAAGAAAAGAAAAGTAAAAAAAAAAAAAAACTAAAGAAAGAAAAAGACACTAAAAAAATGAATAAAAATAGAGAGAAATAAAAGAAAAAAACAAAAAAAAAAACAATTTGATTCATGAATTGGTTGATTTTTCAAAAACTAGTTCAGTTCGTGAATTAATTTTTGAGTAAATATTCAGCAAATTTTATGATACCCGTTTTAGTCCCTAGCAAATAAAAAGGCACATTGTGGTCCTTAAAAAATTCAAGATGGAACCATTTTAGTCCTTTTGAGGATAATACGGGTCTTTTTTGAATTTGCGAGAGATCACGATTTCAACTAAATGGGTCCATTTTGAATTTCTTAGGAACCGCGATTGGCCTTTTTATTTGCTAGGAACTAAAGCGGACATCATAAAATTTATTGAGGACCAAAAATAGTATTTACTCTTAATTTTTAAACACTGGATTTTTAAGATGCAGTTCAGTTCATTTCTTTTGACTATCCCAAAAATTGGTTTTGAATGAGTTCTAAACCCAAATAAAAAGTATAAAAAGATTGAAGGAAAAAAATCTAAAAATGTAAATGATACTAATTTTTTTTAAAATATAAAAAAACTAAAAAGAAAAATAACAATAAAAAAGAGAGAAAAAGACATAACGACAAAAAAGAAGGAACTAAATAAATAAATAAACAAGATAAGAAATTTAAAGAAAAAACAAAAAAGGGGAAAAAAAGTATTTGACTCATGACATAGTTCTTTTGGTTCTTTTCCATACCACCAATTTTACATACCAATACCATTTCCTCAGAGGTTATCACTGAGGTGACATTTGGTTCTCACTCAATTTACGGATTGAAATATTAAATCTATGATGTCCCCTCCTAGAATTTGTATAATTAAACCCTAGGTGCATATTACAGCACGAGTTAACCATATAACACTACTAGGTTCAATTAGTGTCAAGGGACACCAAAATAACTGCAGCAGAGCAAATCAATATTACTTATAATTTACTAAAAACAAAAGTGAGCAAACTTTTGAATTTATATACTTGAATATATTTCTACATAATTTCTCGGGAAGAATTCCAATAATCCAAGAAAATTTGTAATTATTCAACAATTATTAAATGATTGTAGCTCAGTTAGCGTCAAGGAACTGAGTAGGTAGGGTGATAACATGTGTTCAATCTTCACCAGTACTATTTTTAGAAGGAGTTTAAAACTTTAATCCCAAGACCTGTCCCGAATCGAACTAGTCACGAAGCGATGAACCGATTGAAATATTTAAAAAAGAAATTATAAATTATTTAACAACTATGTTAATTAAATATTTATCGTTGCCGCCCATTCCATGTGCATCACGAATCTTCTACTCTACGCTATTTCACATTGTGGTTTGAAATCATCAATATGATTTTACACATTGATGGAATCATGGAAGCTTTTATTCATAAATACGCTACCCTACCATGTTGCGGGAATGGATCATGTGATATGAGGTTATCTCATATAATTTCAATCGTCTAAATAAAAATAAACAGCGATGAGAAAATATATTCAGATAAATAATAAAAAAAAGAATTATCGTTTTAAACACTTGAAGTCCTTTCACATAACTTCGTGTTTTTCTTTTTTCTTTTTTGGATAAGATAATAAGGAAACTTCATGTTAATTAAGAGGATCCATTCTCGTATGTTCCAGCAATTTCCTTCCGTGTGTGCTTTCAAGTAATTTATACATAGTGCAGGGAATCTTGTCAAGTCTTGCATTAACAAAAATAGTTAAATAAATAATTGTAGGGTCATGCACCAAGCTGCTGTAGTTCTTCTACATGTTATTAGGAAATCTCATCAATAGATTGGGTTAGGTATCTATGCACATTATATAATTTATGTCAAAATATGGTACTCCATAATTTAGACAGGATTAAAATTCAAAGGAGATAGAAAGGTAAACTGGCATACTATCTTTCGTCATGTAACAAGACAAACAATTGAAAGAGAATGCTACCATCAGCTATATATATTGCTTTAATATTCACTGAAATAAACAAATTAGAAACAAATGTCATAAATTGATCTTTCAAAAAAAAAAAAGTCATAAATTGTACTTGTATGCAATAAGAGGATACTGGAAGTAGCTTTCAGGAAGGAGCAAATGATAGTAAGACAAAGTGCTTATCTTTTGTGCACGAAAAGCGGAAGTTGAATTTGTTGTGGTACTTGCTTACATGATGGTGACATCCATCATCAGTGTTAATTCAATTATTAAATCATGTAAAATTCAGTAACCATTCTAGTCGGCAAGTAAAACTAAAGAATGCTAACGGCAGATGAGTTCAACAGCCAATGATAGAAACATTTTGTAATCCAAAAAAAAAAACATTTTGTTTAAAATTCTTGGGTTCATGCATAAAAAAAATAAATGCTTGGGTTCAATTTTTTCTGCAATAATCTCTCTCTTAATTTGTGAAGTCTAAGTGTTAGTAGAATCTCTCTCAATAAGGTTTACAATACGCGTTCTGGATCCACCTAATGGGTTCACAATATTTACTATATAGTAACACATAAGCAATCAGTAAAAGTACCCAGGGTTATGGTCTGTTATTCTATCTCTCAACAATATGAATTTCACTCAAACTCTCTCGCTTACATGTAACTGTTAGAGAATAATATAAATCATTAAAAAAAGTCATCACCTAGTGTTCGATCCTAGAAAGACCGTATTGCTATACTGTATGGTATGCGCTCAGAGATACCGTAAGAATAGGTATCTGGCCTATGGCCAAGATCCCAATCACTGCGCACAAGCAATAGGCTTATAGCCAGGACGTGAGTGTGTGCACAGTGTTGGCAATAATAATAATTAGGTTCAAAGTGTGTATCTGGGGTCTTTAGGCTCTTATTTATAAGGATTACCTTCCTAGGCTTGGGCCTTTGAGATCTCCCAGATTGTGTTAGGATTCAGCTCCCTTTCTGTTGGGATAAGGTCCTTATCTTGAGTATTTAATTGCTTAATATTGTTGAGATAATTATGTATTTATCTCTTAGTGGATTCTCAGGTGAGTAGTTAGGATATGATATATATCCATAACAGTTGCCCCCCAGCTCGGTATTATGAATCTCGAAATGCCGGGGTGTTGAGATATCGTGTCGGCTTCGACA